GCACATCAGAGTCACCAGGAAGGCTTGTTAAAACACAGATTGCCAGGCCAGGTGCAGTGGCTTGCCTGTAATCCCAGGACTTTGGGAGGCCAAGGTGGGCGGATCACCTGAGGTCAGGAGTTCAAGACCAGCCTGGCCAACATGGTGAAACCCTGTCTCTACTAAAAATACAAAAATTAGCTGGGCATGATAGTGGGTGCCTGTAATCCTAGTTACTCAGGAGGCTGAGGCGGGAGAATCGCTTGAACCCGGGAGGCGGAGGTTGCAGTGAGCTGAGATCGTGCCATTGCACTCCAGCCTGGGTGACAAAGTGAGACTCAAAAAAAAAAAAAAAAAAAAACACCCACACACACAGATTGCCAGGCCCCGCCCCCAGAGTTTCTGATTGAGCAGGTGTATTCGCTTCCCGAGACTGTTGTATAAATTACTACAAACTTAGTGGCTTAAAGCAACAAATATATATATATAAAATCTCCCAGTTCTGGATGCCAAAAGTCCAAAATTAAGGTGTCAGCACGCCATTTCCTTCGAAGGCTCAGAGGAGAATCCTTCCTTGACTCTTCAGTTTCTGGTAGCTCCTAGTGTTCCTCCCCTCCCACCCCCCGCAGGGTCTTGCTCTGTCATCCAGGCTGGAGTGCAGTGGTGCAATCACGGCTCACTGCAACTTCGATCTCCCAGGCTCAAGCAATCCTCCCACCTCAGCCTCCTGAGTAGGTGGGACTGTAGGCACATACCAAAGCCCAGATAATTTTTTTGTTAATTTTTGTAGACAGGGTCTCACTATGTTGCCCAGGCTGGTTTCGAACTCCTAGGCTCATGTGATCCTCCTGCCTCGGCCTCCCAAAGTGCTGGGATTACAGGCATGAGCCGCCTCACCTGGCCCATAATGACGTTTTGATATATATAGTGTATGCAGCAACAGGTATTCTATTTGTAGTTGTTAGGATGTTTAAGGTTACCTGCTTTAACAAACAACCCTAAAATCTTAGTAGCTTAATACAATAGGTTCTTACTTACATAAAGTCCAAAATGCTTTATGTAAGTCCAAGGATAATTCTCAGCTTCCTGCAGCCAGTGAGTGAAGGGAGAAAGAGTAAGGATTATGGAGGACATTCTAGACTGAGTCTGGAAATGAGCTACGTCCCTTCTGCACCCATTCCATTGGCCCAAGAGCAGTCACATGACCTCAACTTCACTGCAAGGAGACCTGGGAAATGAAGTCCTCCTGTGTGCCTAGGAAAAAAGAAACCGGCCGGGCACGGTGGCTCCAGCCTGTAATCCCAGCACTTTGGGAGGCCGAGACGGGCGGATCACGAGGTCAGAAGATCGAGACCATCCTGGCTAACACGGTAAACCCCGTCTCTATTAAGAAATACAAAAAAAAAAAAAAAAAAACTAGCCGGGCGAGGTGGCGGGCGCCTGTAGTCCCAGCTACTCGGGAGGCTGAGGCCGGAGAATGGCGTGAACCCGGGAGGCGGAGCTTGCAGTGAGCTGAGATCCGGCCACTGCACTCCAGCCTGGGTGACAGAGCGAGACTCCGTCTCAAAAAAAAAAAAAAGAAAAGAAAAAGAAACCAAGTTGGTGAGTATCGAAGCTGCAGTGAGCCATGACTGCACCACTGCACTCTGCCACCTACCCTTTGACTTCTGGTTACTCATGAACTCATCTCTGAAGAAGGATCAGTGGGTGGGAAGAAGGGATTCGTGTATTAGTGTCCTATGGCTGAAACAGCAAATTACCAAAGACTTACTACTTAGAACAACAGAAATTTATTCTCGCATAGTTCTGTAGGCCAGAAGTCCAAAATCAAGGTGTCGCCAGGGCCACGCTCCTTCCAGAGGCTCTGAGAGAAAATCAGTTCTTTGCATCTTCCAGCTCCTGGTGACTCCAGGAGTTCCTCGGCTTGTAGCTGCAGAACTCCAATCTCTGTGTCTACCATCACATGGTGCTCTCCTCTTCTGTCTTCTCCTCTGTGTGTTTCTTAGGACACTTGTCAGCCGGGCGCGGTGGCTCATGCCTGTAATCCCAGAACTTTGGGAAGCCGAAGTGGGTGGATCACGAGGTCAGGAGTTCAAGACCAGCCTGGCCAAGATGGTGAAACCCCACCTCTACTAAAAATACAAAAATTAGCTGGGTGTGCACTCCCAGCTACTCGGGAGACTGAGGCAGAGAACTGCTTGAACCTGGGACATGGAGGTTGCAGTGAGCTGAGACCACGCCACAGCACTCCAGCCTGGGTGACAGACTTGTCTCAAAAAAAAAAAAAAAAAAAAAGGACACTTGTCATCAGATTTAGGGGCCACACAGATAATTCAGGATCTTGCGATCCTGAATGTAATTACACCCGCAAAACCCCTTTTTTCCAAATAAGGTCACCACAGGTTCTGAGGATTAGGACGTAGACTATCCTTTTGGAGAATGCCACGCAACCCACTACAATCAGCTATAATTATTTTTGTAGAAAACGATGGGAACCTGACTTAGGATGGTGGCCTTGGAGAGAAGTGGGTGGGTTTGCAATGTACTTCAGTGGTAGAGCAGAGGCGTTGGTGGTGGTTAGAAACAGAAGCTGAGGGGCTGGGCGCGGTGGCTCACACCTGTAATGTCAGCACTTTGGGAGGCCGAGGCAGATGGATCACTTGAGATCAGGAATTCAAGACCAGCCTGGCCAACATGGCGAAACCCTGTCTCTACTAAAAACACAAAAATTAGTCAGGTGTGGTGGTGCACGCCTGTAATCTCAGCTACTCGGGAGGCTGAGACGAAGAATCGCTTGAACCCGGGAGGCGGAGGTTGCAGTGAGCCACGATCGCACCACTGCACTCCAGCCTGGGCAACAGAGTAAGACTCCATCTCAAAACAAACAACAAAAAAACCCGGGTGTGGTGGCTCATGCCTGTAATCCCAGCACTTGGGGAGGCCGAGGTAAGCAGATCATCACTTGAGGTCAGGAGTTCGAGGTCAGCCTCGGGAGTCTGAGGCAGAAGAATCATGTGAACCCAGGAGGAGGAGGTTGCAGTGAGCCGACTGCACCACTGTACTCCAGCCTGGGTGAAGAGCAAGACTCTGTCTCAACAACAACCGAAAAAATAAAATCTGAGGGATGAGCGGGGTGGTGACTCAGTGTTTGGATACAGAACTGTGTGGCTCAGGTCTGGGTTTCAAAAAGACCCCTCTGGGGCTCTGTGGGGGACAGACTGGAGGGAGAGACTAGAAGCCAGGGAGAAGCCTAGAGTCAGGGTCCAGGTAGGAGAGCAGGAGCCCGGAGCCTACCTGAGCCCTCAGGACAGAGAAGAGGGGTGGAGTGGAGACTCAGGAGGCAGGAGGGGTCTGGCTTAGAGACTGATGCACTGTTGGGGGAGAGGGGACAAGATGAGGCTTTGACCCCATGACTAGATAGATGGTGGGGCTGCCTCAGATGAGGAAATCAGGTGAGAGAATTTGGGGACATCAGGGGAAACTGCAGAGGCCACTGGGTGTGCACTGCAACCAGGCACTGCAGACCCAGATCTGACTGTCAGGATCCCAGGCTCAGTGCCTCCTCCTCTGGGGCCTCTACTCCTCGGAGGATCCCAGGCTCAGTGCCGCCTCCTCTGGGGCCTCTGCTCCTCGGGCCCCGCCGCAGAGGCAGGAAGTACCGCCTGATGCTCAGCTTCCGCTGGCACGGCCCAGCGCCCTCTCCACTCCCAGGGACCTTCCCACCTCGAGCCTGTAGCACTTTCACTTCCCCAGGTACCCAGGCCCTGCCCCCAGCACCTGGGTGCTCCCTGGTCCAGAACAGGCTGCAGACTCTGAGAGGTGCAAAGACAAGTAGGGAAGGGGGAGACAGAGAAAGGAAGACAGGCTGGGCACAGTGGCTCATGCCCATAATCCCAGAACTTTAGAAGGCCAAGGCAGGAGGATCACTTGAGCCCAGAAATTTGAGACCAGCCTGGCAACACAAGTGAGACTCCCATCTCTACAAAAAATGACGAAAATTAGCCAGGCATGGTAGTGTGCACCTGTAGTCCCAGCCACTCGGGAGGCTGAGGTGCAAGGATTGCTTGAGCCTGGGAAGATCGGGGCTGCAGTGAGCTATGATTGCACTACTGCATTCCAGCCTGGGTAACTGTCTCAAAAACAAAAACAAAAGAGAGATGAAGAGAGAAAGGAGAAAGGGACCCAAAGAAGGGACCAGAAACACAGAGAAAGGCCAGGCACAGTGGCTCACGCCTGTAATCCCAGCACTTTGGGAGGCCAAGGCAGGAGGATCACTTGAGTCCAGGAGTTCCAGACCAGCCTGGGCAACCTAGTGAGACCCCGTCTCTGTTTTTTCAAATTAAATATAAAAAATAAAACACTCCCATTCCATAGCAAGACCCCATTTCTACAAAAAAATACAAAAATGAGCCAGGTGTGGTAGTGTACACCTGTAATCCCAGCTACTCGGAAGGCTCAGGTGGGAGGATTGCTTGAGCCCAGGCTACAGTGAGTTATTTGCCCCACTGTAGTCCAGCCTGGGTCAAAAGTGAGACCATCTCAAAAAGAAACAAATATATAAATAAAATAAAGAAACACAGAGAGAGGGAGAATAGAGACCCGAGGGGGCAGGGGGAGAGAGACCCAGGGGAGGCAGAGACTTTGCTGAGAGAAGGGGACAGAGATGGGGAGTGGCAGGAAGGTGGGGACAAAGACCCAGAGAGGAGGAATAAGAGACCCAGGGCAGGGAAGGGGAGACACAGCTGGATGCAGAGATGGGAGAGCTTAGCAGGCCATGAGGTCAGAGTGTCTGTGAGGTCAGCTGCTGTCCAGGGTCAGCCCTGGGGTCCCCATGCCCAGAGGTGGGTCCAGTAGATCAGGTGTCCCTTTAGATGCCCCAGAGCCTGAGACATGGAGACCTGGGAGGGACTGCCCCGTGAGTCCTTGGTGCCCACAAATTCCAAGGCCCCTCAGGTACCACAGCGTGTGCCCCAGTGGAGCAGATGAGGGAGACAGGGACAGAGAGAGAGCCAGAAAGCCACCTTGCATGAAGCAGGAGGGGGTGGAGCCCCACCCCTGGGACTTCCTCTTTCGGGGTTCTTCCTTTCTGTCTCAGCTCTCCGTCTCTCTCTTTCTCTCTCAGACTCTCTTTCTCCCTGTCTCCCCTACTGTCAGCACCTCTTCTGTGTGGTGAGTGGACCGCTCACCCCTCTAGGTGAAGATGTCGGCCCAGGAGAGCTGCCTCAGCCTCATCAAATACTTCCTCTTCGTTTTCAACCTCTTCTTCTTCGTGAGTTGCCTCATGGCTCCCCAGCCCGGGCCCAGCCCCTGCCGCTAACCCTGCCCTCATCTTCCCCCGTGGCCCACCGCCGTATCTGCCTCTCCTCAGGTCCTGGGCAGCCTGATCTTCTGCTTCGGCATCTGGATCCTCATCGACAAGACCAGCTTCGTGTCCTTTGTGGGTGAGGGGGGCTGGGGCAGGTGGGAGGGCCTCCCCCAACCCAAGTGACTTCCTGTGGTCTCCCTTGTCTCAGGGAGATCCATGGTGCCCTACTCTGCAGGCAGGTCACAGGCTCCCATCCACTGCTCACCGTTGCTTCGCTTCTCGGAGCCTGCGTCTTCTTCCGGCAAATGGGGTTGTGCATACAAACAATGACCATGAGAGCCATTTCTCAAGCACTTCCTATCTGTCGGGCCTTGTGGCTGGTCAGATGCCCCCACAAACCTTCCCCTCTCTTGAGGTTCAGAGAGGGGAAGTCCCTTGATGGATGTCATATAGCAAGGAAGTAAAATAGCCAAAATAACATTAATAATGATAGGAAAAAAATAATGAAGTATGACCCTAAATAATAATGAAATATGACCCTAAATGCTCATATTTAAGAAGTCTTTGCCCTGCGTTGAGGACTGGGTTGAACACATGTTCCCATGTGTCCCTCAAAATGACCCTAGGGGCCGGGTGTGGTGGCTGACGCCTGTAATTCCAGCACTTTGGGAGGCCGAGGCAGGTGGATCACTTGAGGTCAGGAGCTCGAGAATAGCCTGGCCAACATGGTGAAACCCTGTCTCTACTAAAAAATACAAAACATTAGCCAGGCACGGTGGCACGTGCCTGTAGTCCCAGCTACTAGAGAGGCTGAGGCAGGAGAATCACTCGAACCTGGGAGGCGGAGGTTGCTGTGAGTCGAGATCACATCACTGCACTCCAGCCCAGGTGACAGAGCGAGACTCCGTTTCAAAAAAAAAACACACACACACACAATAAAGAAACAAAAAAACCTCTGAGAAACAGATACCGTCCCCTAGGCCTCAGGGAGGTTTAAAGAGCCAAGCCAATGTCACAGAACAAGTGATAGGGCTGAAACTACTGGGGATGAGGAGGAGCTGAAGGAGGAAGGAGAGGGTGAGAGGAAGAGAGAGATCCAAGGATAGGAAAGAGAGGCCCAGAAAGAAGACAAAGTTTCAGAAGGAGACAGGGACTCAGGGTGGGGCAGGGACAGAGTCCCAGAGAGGGCACCAGGATACTGCTTCCCACTTGGGCGGCTGCCTAGGCGGGAAATGGGGCTGCCTGGAGTTGTGCCACCCGGCTTATCATTGCTCCCCTCACCTCTCCCAGGCTTGGCCTTCGTGCCCCTGCAGATCTGGTCCAAAGTCCTGGCCATCTCTGGAGTCTTCACCATGGGCCTCGCCCTCCTGGGTTGTGTGGGGGCCCTCAAGGAGCTCCGCTGCCTCCTGGGCCTGGTGAGTGCCTCATCCCTCTCCATCCCTAGGAACACTCCTATCCCCACCCTCGAAAATGGCCTGGGCCGAGGTTGTGAGGGTGGTCAGCCTCATCTCTCCACTCTGCTCCCCAGTATTTTGGGATGCTGCTGCTCCTGTTTGCCACACAGATAACGCTGGGAATCCTCATCTCCACTCAGCGGGCCCAGGTAAGCTTCCTGCAGTGGCCACCACCCACCCCCAGCAGAGAGGAGGGGGAAGAGAGTGGTGGGAGGGGGTGGAGAGAGACGGAGAAACAAAGGCAGACAGGGACTGACCTAGATAAAGAGAAATAAGAGGCTGGGCGTGGTGGCTCACGCCTGTAATCCCATAATCCCAGCACTTTGGGAGGCTGAGGCTGGAGGATTGAGTCCAGGAGTTTGAGACCAGCCTGGGCAACATAGTGAGACCCCATCTATATTAAAAAATATATCTGGGTGTGAGGGCATGCACCAGGGGTCCCAGCTACTTGGGAGGTTGAGGTGGGAGGATCACTTGAGCCAAGGAGTTTGAGGCTACAGTGAGCCATGCACTCATCCTGGGTGACAGAGTGAGACCCTGTCTCAAAAAATAAAATAGAAAGACACACCGACCTGGACCAAGGGAGAGAGGGATAAACAGCTCCAAAGGGAAACACACAGGAAAAAGAACAAGAGAAAGAAAAAGATGCCCTGAAAGAAGAGACAGAGACTTAACGAGCCATAGAAATAGTGGGAGAAACAGAGTGACAGACCTGAAGTACACAGAGCTAGCCATTCAGTGAGGATCTAAGACTGACCCAGAGATGCACAGGGGCCGCCTGAGGCTGGCACAGCCTGAGAGGGGGTGGGATGGGGCGGGGCACGTGAGGTCCAGCCTCACTGGTGGCCTCTCAGCTGGAGCGAAGCTTGCAGGACATCGTAGAGAAAACCATCCAAAGGTACCACACCAACCCCGAGGAGACCGCGGCCGAGGAGAGCTGGGACTATGTGCAGTTCCAGGTGAGCCCTCTCCTCCAGCTCCCTCCCCGACTGACCCGCCTCAGCCCTGTGCTTCGAGGAGACTCCACCCCAACGTGGCCCCGACCCCCAGCTCTACCGAACGTACCCCAACCCCTCCCAGGCCCAACGCCCGCCACTCCCCAGATGACACAACTGGCCCCGGCATGGCCCAGTCTCCCAGTACCCAGACCCTGGCATGGCTTCGCCATCTACCTTGGGAGACTCCGCCCCCGCCCCGACCCCGCCCTGACCGGAGGTAGTCAGGCCCCTAGTCCCAAGACCCTAGCGAGACACGGCTTCCTACCCCGCAGTGAGTCTGGCTTCCATCGGACCCCGCCCCCGATGAGACTCACAGGGTCTCGCACTCCTATTCACCTGTCGGGTATCAGAGGCTCAATCGCACCGCCCACCAATCTCTGGTTCAGAGCGAGACGCTGCAGCTACTTCCCCAGCCCCAGATCACCCCGTGACCCGTCTTTCCCAGCCCCATTTCCCGTAATGTCCCCTGGCCCCGGCCCCATAGCGACACCAGCCCACTGGCCCCCACTCCACACCCACCACTTAGTCCCCTGCTTCCCGACCTGACCTCATACCCATCACCTTGTCCCCTGATCCCCAACATCATATGTCTCCAGTCTCGGTCCCTCTGACCCGTATCCCTCTCCCAGCTGCGCTGTTGCGGCTGGCACTCCCCGCAGGACTGGTTCCAGGTCCTCACCCTGAGAGGTAACGGGTCGGAGGCGCACCGCGTGCCCTGCTCCTGCTACAACTTGTCAGCGACCAACGACTCCACAATCCTGGATAAGGTGATCTTGCCCCAGCTCAGCAGGCTTGGACAGCTGGCGCGGTCCAGACACAGTACAGACATCTGCGCGGTCCCTGCAAACAGCCACATCTACCGCGAGGTGGGCAGGGGTTCGGAGCATAAACCGGTCGAATAGGGCGGGGCCTGCGGGAGGCGCAGGGCTGCCGGTGAGGGGCGGTGCCTGAGAAAGGGCGGGGCTACAAGAAAAGAAAGGTGCGGTAGGCGGGGCGGGGCCCTGTGAAGGGGGCGGGGTCCGTAGGAAGGGCAGGACCTAAAGAAAAGGCGGGGCTGGCTCTGGAATACAGACATCTAGGGAAGGGCCAAGCTTGGAAAAGGTGAAGCGAAGGTGCACTAGTAAGGAGACGAGAGAGGCCTGGTGACTATGGGAGCGGGTAGATGCCTGAAGGCGGTGAGAGTCAGGCTGAAAAGAACGCTGGCCCTGGGCTTGAGAGTCCCAGAAAGAATCCCTTTAACTTTTCCCTACACCCGCAGGGCTGCGCGCGGAGCCTCCAGAAGTGGCTGCACAACAACCTTATTTCCATAGTGGGCATTTGCCTGGGCGTCGGCCTACTCGAGGTGATCTGGCCCCGCCCCCACCCGCGATCTGCCGGGATTTAACCTAGATGGCCCTGCCCTTCATTTCGCGTCCTCCGGTTGCCTGGGAAGGACGCGCTCGGGGCGGAGCACAGCCCACCCCAGCCCTCCCGCGGCTCCACCCAGCACCAGGGGTGGGGGCGGCCTAGCTTCAGGGAGCCCTGATTGGCTGCACGCAGGGAAAACCTCCTGCTATTGGCTGCGATCTCCCTCCCCTTTCCCCGCAGATGACTGTTATGATGCTGAGCGTGCAGCTACAGCGCAGGGCACTCCGCCGGAAATGCGAGCCGCACTTGCCGGGCGCTCGGGGTTCGAGCCCCGGGCCCAGTCTGATCGCTGACGGCGGCGGGCGCAGCGGCAGTCTGTGGGGTGGTTGGGGCATGGCGGGTGCCTGCCCCAACTGGGGGGACAAGGCCCCGCAGGGCAAGCTGCCCATGGCCCTGGGACTCTGGCCGCTGTGGGTTCAAGACGAGGACCAGCCTGATACTGGGAGTGCAGGCGCAGAATTAGAGGCCGAGGCAGAATTAGAGGCTGAGGCAGAGGGGGAGACAGATGAGCCTCCAGAATAAACGACCCTGGGCTTGCTTCCGACCTTACTCCTTCTCAGCCTCTACCCCGACCCCGCCTCCCCACCTATAGCAGCGGCGCTTCCCCTACCCCCACTTGTTGCAGCTGTTCCCGCCTCATCAGCCAGTCCTGCGGCAGTTTCCTTCGAGCCCCGCCCATTTCTACCTATCCCGTTCTCCAGCCCCGTCCCGCCTAATTCACGGCCCCACCCCTGACCTTTCTCGCCCGGGTGGGCATCACCCCCGTCTCGCCAGCACCCCTTCGACTTCTCTGACCTCATCTCCTTTCTCTATAGCTCGGGTTCATGACGCTCTCGATATTCCTGTGCAGAAACCTGGACCACGTCTACAACCGGCTCGCTCGATACCGCTAGGCCCCGCCCCCGTCACGTGCGCTGGGGACTTCCCTGCTGCCTGTAAATATTTGTTTAATCCCCAGTTCGCCTAGAGCCCTCTGCCTTCACATTCCCCTGGGGACCCAGGTGGCTGCCTGCCACCGCTGCTGTCACCTCTCCCACGGGACCTGGGGCTTTCGTCCAGTTTCTTGCCCCCATCTGTCGGCCTACCACCTCCCACAAGATTATTTTTCACTCAAACCTCAAATAAATGCCCTGCGTTTTTGGTAAAATAGCTTTATCCTCTGTCAGAACACAAACCAACAAACTTTGAGAGGGGAGGGAAGAAACAGTCTAGCTCACAGCTCACTTGTGGGGGAGATGAGATTAGAAAGCTTCAACCCACTACTTGTGCAGCTGAGATAAAGTCAAGACCCTAGCACCCACTTATAAATATCTTGTTATATTAAAAAAAATATATTTCCAGGGCCCACCTGGCTCTGCTCCTGCACAGAAAGGGTTAATCTTCACTTTGTGATCTCACAGGTCATGGAGTGAGGGTGGTAGAGAGAGGCAGAAATTTCAGGGGGAGGGGTGGCTGGGAAAAAGTAAAGGGGACAAGCCAATGTGTAACTACGGCCCTCCAAGACATGCAGAGGAGTGGGGGGGCCCTGCCAGGGGCTGAGAAGTCAGTGCTGTACCTGGAGGTTGTCTCACTCCTGTCCCCACAATCCCTGATACTCCGGAGTGATCTGTCCTTTCAGACACCCACTGTGAGGTCCCAATATTGGGGTTTATCCTTTCCTCAGTCCCAGCCTGTTCAGCACTCCAACCAAGTTTTGGGGCCCTTCTAATGGGGGGGATGGCCCCAGTTGCCTAGGCCTCTGAGGTCAACCCCTTTACATCACAGCCCTCTCCCCAAATAAGAAGCATGAGGTGAGCTGGAGGACCCTCCCTGGGAGGAGGGTGTTCTGGGGGTGAGCCAGTTTTGGGGTCCCCCTTCAGTCCCTGACCAGGCGGTAAATGTGATGCTGGGCCCCACGCTCGCTGGTGGAGACCTCGAAGACATAGGCGGTGCAGAGCAGCAGTTCCTGGGTGTCTCTGTTTGTCACCACCTGCCAGGAAGGCCAGGACAAGGGACTTATGCTTAGAAGGGAGGGCAGGGACCCCTGTGCACCCCCGCCAAGTTATCATGGAATACCCAGCAGGCTCTTTTCTATCTCCAGGAAACAGGCGGCCACCGTATCATGTTCCCCAAGAGAAAGGCATGCCCAAAAGTCAGTTCCCTCAGCTGAGCGTTGGCAGTGATGGTGTATCACGTCTCAGGGTCAATCAGGTTCCCATCATATCACATTCCCCAGGTAAAGGGATCCCCATCATGTCACAGGTAAAGAGAGAACCCTCCCTGCAGCTTCCGCAGTCAAGGGGTCTCTGCCTTACCAGTCCAAAGAGTTAAAGGGGCTCCCACCATGTCATGTTCCTTGAGAAGCTGAGGATCTGCCTTGAAGTGTCCTCCAGTCAGCTTCCCCCGGGAAGGAGGGCTTACGTGCGAGTGCTATGGGGCTGGGCGTGGTGGCTCATGCCTGTAATCCCAGCACTTTGGGAGGCCTAGGCGGGTGGATCACTTGAGGTCAGGAGTTCGAGACCAACCTGGCCAACATGGTGAAACCCCCGTCTCTACTAAAAATACAAAAATTAGCCAGGCATGGTGGGGCATGCCTGTAATCCCAGCTACTCAGGCGGCTGAGGCAGGAGAATCGCTTGAACCCGGGAGGCAGAGGTTGCAGTGAGCTGAGATCTTGCCACTGTACTCCAGCCTGGGCAACAGAGCAAGACTCCATCTCAAAAAAAAAAAAAAAAAAGAGAGAGAGAGGGCTGTGACATCCCCACCACATCAGTTCCCTAGGTGAAGGGGTCCCCTAAACTAAGGGTCAATGGTGGGGTCCCCACTGCATCAGTTTCCTGGTTAAAAGAGCCTCAGGCTGAGGGCTCACTTCGGAGTCCCTGCTGTGTCAGTCCCTGGGTGAGGAGTTCCCCTAGACTGAAGGTCTGTTATAGGTACTGTCCCTCCACACTGGGGGCCCCTGGGGGCCCCCACTCCAGCCTAGCCCCAGGCATCACCTGGAGGATGGTGAAGTTTTCCAGGACGCTGTTCATCATGTATCGCTCAGGCAGCTGCCGCAACTTGTGCAAGAAATTCACCAGGTACTCGCACATGGGCGAGCGTAGCAGGCGGTACACAAATCTGCCATCCTCCAGCTGGGCCCGTTCCGTCTGAACCAAGGGGCAGGGAGTGGGGAGAATGGTGGCTGAGAGACACACGGGTCACCCCAGGAACTGAGCTCCACCCTATGCCTCTAAGATGCCACCACACTCAGTCTCACTGCCACCTTCCTTTCATCACCCCACCCACAGTGACCGGAGACTGGGCCTGAACCCTCAGGGATCCAACTCAGGATCTCTGAGCCTGCAAATCACAAGCCCCTCAAAGTGATGCTCTGAACCCCCAAAGACCTCTGAACTCCTCTAGCCTCCCAGCCCTCAGATACCCTCCAAAGACGCCTCCATGACATTTTCAAACTCTATCTAACCTCTAAACCTGAGACTTCCCCAGGTCTCCAGCAACCCCTAAGTGTGACTTCTGAACTTCTTGCCCTAGGAACCTCTCCATATCCTTAAGACCCTTCTCGGCCGGGCGCGGTGGCTCAAGCCTGTAATCCCAGCACTTTGGGAGGCCGAGACGGGCGGATCACGAGGTCAGGAGATCGAGACCATCCTGGCTAACACAGTGAAACCCCGTCTCTACTAGAAAAAAAAATACAAAAAAAACTAGCTGGGCGAGGTGGCGGGCGCCTGTAGTCCCAGGTACTCGGGAGGCTGAGGCAGGAGAATGGCGTGAACCCAGGAGGCGGAGCTTGCAGTGAGCTGAGATCTGGCCACTGCACTCCAGCCTAGGCAAGAGAGCCAGACTCCGCCTCAAAAAAAAAAAAAAAGACCCTTCTCAATCTCAGTGACTCTAAATCTCTATACTACACATGACCTGTCAGCCCTCAGAATGATCCCTACCTGTGACTTCCGGACTCCACATTAGCTCCCAACACATGCATTAAACCCTCAAAAGAGGCTGGGACCCACTCCCTCCACGCACACCCCAAATGCCTGAGCCATCATGGCTTCTGGTCCATTCTGCACCCCCAAGTGCTGGGTGGCTGGGCGCTCACCCGCCCAGAGCTCCACCCCTCCAGCCTCACCTCCACCTTCTCCACCACCTGCTTGCCAAAGGAGCAGACCTTGGAGGAACAGGTGAGGGTCATGTGTTCCAGGCTCTCATACTGGCTGCTCACTCCATAGAAGCCACCACTGCTGATGCTGCCACCGGCCCCCGCCTCCTCGCCACTTGGGCCCCAGTTCAGGTCCGCCTGGGAGATGGGAAGGCACAGATGAGTCAGAGGGGACGTCCCTTATAAACAGTGGAGACTACCGGGCGCGGTGGCTCACGCCTGTAATCCCAGCGCTTTGGGAGGCTGAGGTGGGTGGATCACCTGAGGTCAGGAGTTCAAGACCAGCCTGACTAACATGGAGAAACCCCGTCTCTACTAAAAATACAAAATTAGCCGGGTGTGGTGGTGCATGCTTGTAATCCCAGCTACTGGGACACTGACGCAGGACGCAGGAGAATCACTTGAACCCAGGAGGCGGAGGTTGTGGTGAGCAGAGATCGGGCCATTGCATTCCAGCCTGAGCAACAAGAGTGAAACTTCATCTCAAAAAAAAAAAAAAAAAAAAAAAACCACAGCAGGGACTCTGCCCCATAGCCTAGTTTTCCCATTACCCCTGCAATTCCCGGCTTGATTCCTCAGTGCTTTTTTTTTTGGAGACAGGATCTTGCTCCGTCACCCAGGCTGGAGTGTGGTGGTACAATCACAGCTCACTGCAGCCTCGACCTCCTGAGCTCAAGTGATCCTCCCACCTCAGCCTCCTGAGTAGCCAGGACCACAGGTGCATGCCACCACACCCAGCTAACATTTTGTATTTTTTGTAGAAACAGGGTTTCACCATGTTGCCCAGGCTGGTCTCCAACTCCTGGGCTCAAGCGATCCTCCCACCCTGGCCTCCCAAAGTGCTGGGATTACAGGTTTGAGCCACCGCATCAGGCTTTCAAAGTTCTCCAAGGGCTGGTTTCTGGAGAAGATCCACCACCCATTCATGTTGAGGAAGTCTGGGTCCCCAAAACAGTCTTGGCCCTCTCTCCCCAGTAACCAAAGGAACCCTGGAATTCAAATTCAACCTTTTTTCTTTCCTTTTTGTTTTTTGAGACGAAGTCTTGCTCTTGTTGCCCAGGCTGGAGTGCAATGCCACGATCTCGGCTCACTGCAACCTCCGCCTCCCGGATTCAAGCGAGTCTCCTGCCTCAGCCTCCCAAGTAGCTGGGATTACAGGCACACGCCACCATGTCTGGCTAATTTTTGTATTTTTAGTAGAGACGGGGTTTCATCATGTTGGCCAGGTTGGTCTCGAACTCCGGAACTCAGGTGATCCACCCGCCTCGGCCTCCCAAAGTGCTGGGATTACAGGCATGAGCCACCATGCCCGGCCAATTCAACCTTTTTCTCTTGAAGCCCACAACTCAAGAGTTCAGCCCCTTCCAAGGGACTGGTTACTAAGGAGGCAGTTACTGCTTAGCAACCAGTTCAAGATGAACACCTCCCTCTAAGCCCCTCTACGCTGGTTGCTAAGGCAAGTTGCTACTCCCTAGCAATGGGACTTCACAGAGCCTGCGGAGACCTGACTCCTCTTCAGAGCGCTTCCCCCTCGGCCGAATCTGAGAGGTCAGACTCCCTCCATAACCCCAGTGGCCAAGTGCGTAGACAGCTGGCCAAGTGTCACTAGGCCAAGTGGGGCCTAAGGAAGCCTAAGAGCTCATCACAGGTTTGGTCTGAGTCGCCTCCTTGAGAGGTGTACCTCTTCCTCTTCCTAACTTTAGTTCCTAACACTGTGCCAGGTCAGTCTTCTCAGGGGCTCAGCTCCATCCCTCACTGTGGCAAAACCAAAGACCTTACCAGCTGCTCCTCTGAACCCCTTCAGCAGCTGGGCTTCCTAAGGGGGTGGCTCTCCAGTCCTGGGACCTGATGAGGCCTGTCTTAAGCCCCAGCAGTGTCTAAGCCCTCAGCTGCACATCCCCAGAGCAGTTTCAGACCCCTGCTTCACACGGCAGAAAGCTCCAGAACCATGAGCCACAAGCTCCAGAACTGCAACATTCCCAGCGAGGCCAATAAAGTTCAGACCCTCAGTA